CAGCAAAATGACCAGTGGAATGAATATTTTTCATATTTACCAAGTACCATTGAATGTGAATGGCATACATAACTTGTTGAGATCAAACAAGCCAGCAAAAGCGAGATAAGACTCGCAGAAATTTCCACACGTCTGATCGCCATGTTCACAACCGTCGAATTTTTGAGACCGTTGAATTTTTGAGGCGTTGAATTTTTGAGACCTCGCTTTTGTAACTTTAGCGCAAAGTAATTTCCGTATAATGACCAAGTATAATGACCAAGTACAGGTCATGCCTACGTATAATGACCAAGTACAGGTCATGCTACGTCAAACTAAAGGTTAAGAGAAAAATTTTTAAACGAAGACAAATTATGAAGATCACTAGGCGAGCCTACTTTACAAACACAAGTCCAAGGGGGTACAATTCGGTTGAAATAAGAGGAATCGAAGGTGTTTGTTCTTCACGATGGAACTTTCAGTAGAAGTGAAGGGTTATTACAATTACGATTTCGATTATGACTAACGAATGACACGTAACTTGAAACATCCAAGTCATAAAATCCGTGTAACGCTCGTTCCAAGGATCCATCTTGGAGCTCGCCTCTGAACTCTCTCTAGTTTCTCCAGATTTGATTTACTTGTGTGGATGGTCGGTACCCAGTCTTGTGTAGCATAGGATAGCTGGGATTTGACAAGAGATAGGTAGAGGGCACGTCGAATATCATGATTAGGGATCAATCAAAGGACGTGTTCTTCTTATTAGTCCAAGCATTTTGTTCGCCTTACCAACAAGACTATTGATGTGAGTATTCCACTAAAGGTTACTGGTTACAGTGATCCCGAGATAAAGTTCACTGTCCACACGTTTCAGTTCAGGTCCGAGATGGTAATTTATCTGAAACAGGAATTTGCGGCGGGATATCGTTAAAACTTTGCACTTGGATGTGTTAAATTTCATGTTACAATCTTTACTCCAATCCTCAGCACACGACAAGGCATGGTGTAACTGTATGCCGCCATCGGAAGAGAACGTCCGTTTGGATGTTATGGTCGAGTAGTTTTCCAATATCATGTAGAGTGGAAAGGAGTTGTGTTTTACAAGAACGACCGTGTAAAAAAACGTGTTGAGCTTGGTGAATCATATGACGAACATGATCATAAAATTAGCTGCAGAAACATCGCTCCAAGACTTTGCTAATGATAAGTAGGAGAGATATGGGTCGGTGATTGGTAACAGATTCTTTACTATCTTTCTTGTGAATTTGGGTGATATCAGCAGATTTCCAATCAGAAGGAATAATTCCGAATTGTAGAGAATGGTTAAAAAGTGCACAGAGACTCGGAGTGATGATAGAAGCACATTCCTTTAGAATTCTACCTGGAATGCCATCAAGTCCACTAGCTTTCGTAGGATCTAATTTTGAAAGGTGGTGGGTAACTTCGTCTTCCAAGATGGCCAAAGTCGAAAATTTCAGTTCCGCTTTGTTGCTATATGCAAATGTGGGTGAGCATTGTTGCTATATGCAAATGTGGGTGAGCCGTTCGAATCACCGACCAAACAATTGGCACAAACACCTACAATTAGTCAGCCAGATAACCAGAATGTAATATCTGACACGACACATATGCTCATTCCTCCCGAAGAATATTTCCATCAGTCAAATAATAACTTGATTAACCCATCAACACGGCAGAATAAAGTCAGCAAGCAAATCCCTATAGTTTCTTTACGACGCCCTGGTATATTATCTTACACTCATTCAAAAAAGAGAAACTTAAATAATCTAATCCCAATTCCTATGTTCAAAACTCAGTCACCAAGTTTATCAGGAATCCAGAATTCGAGGTATAACTTAAAAAACAACAGGCTTAAAGTGGCTCATTTAAACATCCGCTCGCTTAGGAACAATGTACATCTCACCGAAATGAGAGAACTGACGCGAAATGAAAAATTTGATATCTTAACAATATCAGAAACGTGGCTAAATACAAGTGTATCGTCTGCTGAAGTAAAAATAGAAGGTTTCAATCTTTTAAGATTAGACCGCCTTCACAAACGAGGTGGAGGGTGTGCACGTATGTTCGTAAAGAACTTAAAGCATCTGTCATAAAGTCTCTGTCTTCTATCTCTGAAGACAACTTCCATCAACAATGGATAAATGTTCAGTATAAAAAATCCAAATCGTTTTTAATCTGTGTAACTTACAGGCCACCTGACTGTCCCTTGAACTGTTTGGAAGACGCTCTTAAGCCAAACTATATGGAAGCTTTATTATTAAAAAAACCAATCCTGATCCTAGGAGACCTAAATTGTGATGTATTGAAGAGTGGTTGCGCAGAGTATAAATCTCTTGAAAAATTTTTAAATGAAATGAACCTTACCCAAATCATCGAAACCGCAACGAGGATCACGAATTCAACTTGTTCATTGCTAGATGTCATCATAGTGTCGTCGAAGTCGTTAGTTAGCCGAAGTGGGGTATTAAACGCATCTATCAGCGACCATTTGCCAGTGTACGCGGAACTCAAACTTAAACCTCCTAGACAAGCCACAAGATATATCACTACGCGTAGCTACAAAAACTATGTACCTAATGACTTCTTCACCGATCTAGCTAGAAAGTCAGACTCCCTCTTATCCGTTTTGGAAGAGGAAGATGTAAATAACAAACTCGATCGCTTTAACCATGTTGTGCAATCAACACTAGATGTTCACGCACCGATTAAAACAACAGCGATTCGTAACCGACCTTGCCCTTTTATCACACAAAATCTTAGAAACCAAATGAAAGAGAGAGACCGATTACACCATCAATTCCTAATTACGCGTGACACTAAGGACTGGGAAAATTACAAGATCTACCGAAATAATATTAAAAAAGCTCTCAGGAAGGCAGAAAATGAACATAATTCTAATGAAGTACAGCAACACAAAGATAACCCGAGGTCTATCTGGAAAATAATAAACCGTCTGGTACCATCAAAGAGCCAAGAGAGACAAATTTACACCAAAGATCACAAATCTATCGCAAACGAATTCAATCAAATTTTTTCATCAGTCGGTGAAAATGCTGCAAAGAAATCTATTCATCTAGCAGCTGCTAATAACATCGCTCTGCAGGAACCCTATGAAAAAGTTTATATACCGGAAAACGATCAATTTTCGTTTAGGGCGGTATCTTGTTATGAAGTTCGTCGAGTGGTGTTATCTTTACCTAACAATAAATCTCCCGGCCCAGATTTAATTAACCCAAAGATAATAAAAGACTGTCTTCCAGTCATTTTGGGTCCTCTTACGGATATTATTAACTGTTCTTTCCGAACTTCTACCTTTCCACTGGCATGGAAAAAGGCAGAGCTCATTCCTATACATAAAGAAGGTGATCATGAACTACCCTTTAATAATCGACCAGTGTCACTACTAGCAGTAGCGTCGAAAGTGTGTGAAAAATTAGCTCTTGAACAATTGAATTCCTATTTAATCAACTACAAGCGATTAACTCCCCACCAAAGTGGAAACAAAACACTCCATTCGACGGAAACATTAAATATTTTCACCACTGACTCAATCTTAGATGCCATGGACAAAAAGAAGCTTACAGCGCTAGTGTTGCTGGATCTCTCAAAGGCGTTCGATAGTATAAATCACCAGAGGCTACTCCAAAAATTATTCAATGTCGGAGCTTCTAATTCCACAATAAATTGGTTTAGAAGTTACCTAACTGACCGCTCTCAAGTCACTCGTATTGATTCTACAATATCGGAGCCACTATTATTAACTCATGGGGTACCTCAGGGGGCCATTTTATCGCCACTGCTCTTCTGTATATACTTAAACGATTTACCCGCTACATCCTACAATGGCAATCTGGAATCATATGTAGATGATACAAAGTTACTGTTATCGTTTCCTCTATCAGAAGTTGACAACGCTGTAAAAATCTTGGAACAAGATCTACATATGATCGCGACTTGGTGCTGCGAAAACAGTCTTCTGGTCAACCCAGACAAAACTAAATTTATGATTCTTGGAACAAGACAGTTGATAAGAGAGCTCGATGTTAATATCTCGGTTCCTTTCATGGGAAAACTTTTAGAACCTGTTGATTGGGCGAAAGATCTAGGAATGTTGATGGACAAACACCTAAGTTATGACAAACATATCTCTAAAGTAGTATCATCTTGCCTCCACAAATTGTGCCAGATAAACCGAGTTAAAAACAACTTCGATAAGAGCACACTCACCATGATAATATCCTCGTTAGTGATCAATAAAATGTTATATTGCTCCACAGTGTGGTCAAATACAACAAATGCTAACATGAAGAAACTTCAATCGGTTCAAAATTTTGCAAGTAAAATAATCACAGGATCTAAGAAATATGATCATGTAACCCCATTACTTAAAGATCTGGAGTGGCTGACTGTCGACAAATTGCTCTATTTCCGTGATGCGGTTATGACTTATAAATGTATGAACACTTTAGCGCCAAAATACCTCTGTGATATGTTCGAGAAGAGAACTTCTATTCATAATAGGTCAACTAGGTATTGTAATTTAGTACAAATACCCCGGTTCAAAACAAGTACAGGTCAACGGTCATTTGCGTATAGAGGAGCTGTGATTTGGAACAACCTAGATAGTAAACTGAAGGAATGTACATCACTTAAGACTTTTAAAACTCATTTGAAAGATCATTTACTGTCATTTTAGCCTGTTTCGACATTGTAAATACTATTAGCTTTTTAACATTCTATTAAACATAGTTTAGTTTTAATTGTAAATTATCCAGTATAATATAATTATTTCTTAAATATTGTAAATAGGTTCTGAAAAACCCTTCTGGGAGAAACTATTAAAATTATCTATCTATCTATCTAAAGCATTCAGAGGGGTTAAAAATCGCAAACGAATTACAAAACGCTCGACGTTTGCCTCATCGACGTTATTGTACGCGCTTTCGAACGTTTAACTTTGCAAAACTCAGTCTTCTAAAGAACTTCTAAAGTTCTATTTCGATCGTGACATCTATAAAATGCCACCGCGACCTAGAAAGCAACTGGATTCGAAAAGGATCGAGAATTCACTTCGAGCAAACATTTTGCCATTGGTAAGTGTGTTGAGCGAAATTAACTAACAGATTTCACGGCAATTCATCGAGTCCATTTGCTCAATTCGTCTATAGATCGGTGATCACTTGGAAGCGGCAGCATGCCGTGCTGTTTGGAGAGTTCGTCATGCTGATATTGACATCGCGAGAAACCAGATCGCTTCGAAGCGACTTCGTCTAGACCAAGTGGTTGGGGCGATGAATGGCGTTCAATTCTTTTTTTCCTGCATCACAAGTGTCATGTGTAACGCCAGATCCGCGACTGACTACGACAGCAATGAACCCATTCGCACGCCCGAGAGCTACCCAGCGATTGGCTACTTCGTCGTGTACAAGGAAAGCGCAACTTGCAACGAGAATCGCTTGTTTTCAATCATTCACAACGAAGATCTCGACGCAAGCGTTACGCCAATTCGAGTACGAAAATCATCGGGCAGCAATAACGAAATGGAGAAAGCCGCCAAACAGCTATTCCAAGTGCTCAAGGACCATAACAACAAGTCGATCCAGGAGATGCTTCAAGTCTCGAACGTTTACTGCTACAGAAATTCCGAGGGAACGCCGTCCGATGATGATAGCGATGAAGACGACGATGATGGCCGGCTGGTGTCAAGCTATTTCCCCAATGTTCCTTGTTGCTTACTAGTCGTGAACGAAAGCGAGTTTGGCGATCGTCTGTCTGCAGCAGTTAGAAACCTTGAATCCGACGGACTTGTTTTAAATCTGGCCAACACAAAGGTTGTCAACTTGGTTGAAACACCGCTCTCAACTAATAACGAGATTGCTGCCCTGATAGACAAGATTGATAAATGCATGAAGTTATGCGACCACGCCTTGTATCGATCGGAAATTTACACGAAACCAGAGGGATCAAAATTCACGTTTGTCAAAATGATGGACGTGACGAGTTACCTGCATAAACTTCTGGCTAACGAAGTGCTACGTGACAAGCTGATTCAGCATTTTCAATCGGTCGATAGACTTCTGTCTCATCGAGCATGCGCCATAATTCACCAGATCAAATTTGACGTCGATCTTATCGAAGTATCACACTGTTATTGTTTCTCCATCAAAGCACGAAAGTTCATCGTCTGCCCCATCCCAGAATCCATGCGTGGAAAGCTGTCGCCAAGATCCTTCGTTCCATACGACTGTTCCAAACCGCCGAATCCTGGATATTTTCGGGATGGTATTGTCAACTCCTTTCCCGATGACGACGTGCGAGCGCGGTTCTTGAATAAGTTATATCAGTGCCTTCTCGCGTTCAGCATGCCGCACAAGGTGAGAAAATTGGTTGTGGTTGGCCCCAAAGATTCTGGCAAGACATCGTGGTCCAACATCTTCCATCGTGTCATTCCAGCCAGTTACATTGCGTCCCTCACCAACGAGAGACAATTCTCAGCTGCTATGATAAACAACGAGACTCAGCTTGTCGTCGTCGACGAATGGTCGGCCAGTACAATGCAATCCGACCTCGCAAAGTGCATCCTTCAAGGCGGATGGATGGTCACTGCAGTGAAGCACGGCCTACCAAAAACGGTGTTGAACAACAGCCCCTTCTACATCACAACGAATAACCTTCCGAATTTTGGTAAAGAAGAAGACGAGAACGTGCAGCGCAGAATTGAGATCTTTACAACGACATCGCTGCCTCAAACCCTACCAGGAATCGACAAGTGGATATACGACAACGCAATGCATTGCATTGTGTTCAAGAAATTCAAGCAAACCGCGAGCACATCGATCAACACGAGCTGTGGTACGAACCAAATCACTCTGGACCGTTGACGATAGCTGCAAACGAAGGCGAAAGTCTGTTCAGCGAAGAACGCGTACGACGTATTTCCAATGCTGATTTGCGCCAGGACGTTGACGTCGGTGACGAACTGTCGCCAACGATCCACGATAGTTTTGCGGCGGAGTTACGTTCGCGACGCCTCGCGCGAAAGAGAAGAGCCGCTCGTGGAAGAGTAGACAGCTACGGGCATAGCAGTACCGAAGAGAACGAAGAGCGTAACACCTCCTCAGACGATGCTGAGAACCGCACGAAAAGCATGCAAGAATGCCCGCCGACTGAAGGCAACGTTGTCACAGAATGCCCTCGAGCAAACTCAACAACATTAACAACTGACGAAAAATCCAACGAAGAAGGCACGATCGGAAGTGAAAGAGACAAAAGGGACAACGCCAACAAGGAAACAACACCGGTAACAGTGGAACAACATCGAGCATCGAACGAAGCATCCCCTGACGAGAACGAGACGAACAGCCACACTATTCACACCAATTCCCCTCCAGCAGGATGGGTATTGAACGACAAGTGGTATATCTCGCAAGTAGCATACTTAATAAGGTATGGCTTCCTAAATGTTCAAAGAGGCGAGCTGTACTCGTTTACTGCACGAAGAGACAAAGCCAAGTTAAAGCGCACAAGAGAAGAACGTGACTTCTGGACTATTGGTGACCCAAACATTGATGCTTGGATGTTGGTAACAGGGCAAACGCGAGATGTTTTTGACATCCAATCTTTTGTCCAACAGAACCGTGAAATCGTTGAAGAAATACGAGAGGTACGAAAGAATGTGAATCTCCTCGTTCTCAGAAGTCGATGCCCCCTCCAGAAAGCACTACAACAAATTGAAAGCCGCGAACGGGGAGAAGAAAACGCAGAACAAGTTGAAGTTCCATCGCAAACATATTGGACAACCTTTAAAAGCTGGAGACCGTGGTAAAAAATGTTTAAATAAAACAGTATTAAGTATATCATGGCTCACGTATCAGTGACAAACATAAAAACTTGTGAATTATGTGTGGGGAATTGTGATGAACGCATATTTTTCCGAAGTATTTCATATTATATTGATCTATTGTAAAATATTATGTAGAAAAAACTTTACTAATTTCAAAACGAACAACCGGTTACCAAGATGAACATGTCAACATGTACGAACAGTTCGCCACCAAAAGTTTTAAAAAAAACAACTTCAAATCATTTCAATTTTTTTCCTGCTCTTAATTGTCTTGCCATTAATAATTTTGTAAATAGAAAAGATCGTTGAAGTGACTGATCAGCAATAAGTTTACAAAACTTTATAATCGTATTCTTTTTAAATTTTATCGTGTGACCCGCGGCCCATTGAAAACCAGTATCTCAGCTGAATAGCTATATGCAGCGTATAAATATTTTTACAGATTAAACGTGACATGTCAATTATCTGTGAACAAAGTCTCGATTCGAATTAGTTTTCTCACTTTGTGACGGGCTACGGGCTACCAATAGAAATCCCTATTAAAATGACGGGCTACGAACGGGCTACCTGTCAAAATGACGGGCTACACGTCTTGCTGGTAGCCCGGCATTGAAATTTTTCTAAGTGTCCACTCGAAATTGTTTTCTCACTTTGTAACGGGCTACGGGCTACCAATAGAAAACCCTATTAAAATGACGGGCTACCTGTCAAAATGACGGGCTACACCTCTTGCTGGTAGCCCGGCATTGAAATTTCTCTAAGTGTCCACTCGAATTTGTTTTCTCACTTTGTAACGGGCTACGGGCTACCAATAGAAATCCCTATTAAAATGACGGGCTACCAACGGGCTACCTGTCAAAATGACGGGCTACACTTCTTGCTGGTAGCCCGGCGTTGAAATTTTTCTAAGTGTGCACTCGAGTTAGTTTTCTCACTTTGCAACGGGCTACGGGCTACTAATAGAAATCCCTATTAAAATGACGGGCTACCAACGGGCTACCTGTCAAAATGACGGGCTACACCTCTTGCTGGTAGCCCGGCGTTGAAATTTTTCTAAGTGTCCACTCGAATTTGTTTTCTCACTTTGTAACGGGCTACGGGCTACCAATACCAAGTCGCTGTTACTCTTTTAAAAAAATAAATAAATAAAAAAAAAATATATATATATATATATACATATATAGATATACACTCTTTTGAAATATATATGTTTGTATATGTATTATTATATGTAAACTAATTCGAATGGACACATAGAAAAATTTCAACGCCGGGCTACCAGCAAGAAGTGTAGCCCGTCATTTTGAGAGGTAGCCCGTTGGTAGCCCGTCATTTTAATAGGGATTTCTATTGGTAGCCCGTAGCCCGTTGCAAAGTGAGAAAAGTAATTCGAGTGTACACTAGAAGAATTTCAACGTCGGGCTACCATGCAGGAACATGAAGTCCATAGATGAAATTTTTCTCCAAAGTTTTTCCAGGCACCTTACGTTAAGGAACAAATTAACATCCGGTGCTTTTAATTGGGAATTAAGTGATATTCTGTAAAAAATCATTGCATTGTACATGAAAGATTTTTTACCATCCCCTACAATAAAGTCGTAACCCACTGTTTGTTTTAGTGAACTTAAACTGCATGAGTGTCGTAACTTGATGATTTAAATCGATGTAATTTTCTAGTAAAGTTTTATTTTTATGTTTCTACTCCTCGCTTACAATACTAATGTTATTTTCCCAAGCCTTATCTTAATCATATGCATGCGCTGTTCACGTGTCCGTCATTTCTAAATATACTATACGACATCCCTCCCTTTTTTGGAAAGTTTCACTATTCAAAAAAAATATCAATTGTTAGATGTTAATGAGTGTAAACGCCACTGACTAAAGTTTTTTTCATTCGTTTACTCATGCTTGAAATAGTTTGGCGGCTTTCTCTGCCTGGTGGATCTTCTTAGAGGTGGGTCTGGTGGGTTTGGTGGTAAGGGTTGCGGTGGGGCTTCTTGCTCATCACCAGTTGAATTGTAGGGTGGTATGAGATCTTCTAAGTCTTCATCGTTGGGGTGTTCTGCGGTTGGCGCATTTGGTTGATTAAACTCTTTCACATGAGATGAATTTCGGCGATAGATTTGTCCGGTTTTGCTTCGCATAACAATCTGAGAGCCGTTGATGCTGATTATTGTGAGAGGGTCCGGGTTGAACGTTGTTGAAAATTTATTGATATGTGGTTGTTTTAATAGGACCAATTCGCCTTTCTTAAATTGATGGGGTTTGGCTCTTCTTTTCTTGTCAGCTAGCACTTTGGACTTCCGTTTCGAAACTGCATCAGTTTTCTTGATCTCACTGGCAAGTGGGTTGCTGGGTGGTTGTTGGATACTAGGTATCTTGGTTCGCAACTCTCGGTTCATTAGAAGTAATGCTGGTGTTTTCCCTGTTGTGCGATGGGGGGTTGTGCGATAGTTTCGAAGCATTATCGGAATGGATTCCTTCCAATTCTTTCCTTCAACCAAGGCGGTTTGGATAAACTTCAGAAGGATCTGGTTGAATCGTTCCACTAATCCATTCGCCTGGGGCCAGTATTCAGTGACTGTACGTGGTTTGATTCCCCAATCCTTGAGGGTATTTCTGAATTCCACCGAGGTGAAGTAGGTTGCATTATCGGTTTGCAGTGTGATGGGATAACCGTGAGTGGCAAACACAGAATCTAACCATTTGAGGATTCTTGCTGATGTGGTGGTCGTAACAACTTCTACTTCGACCCATCGAGAGTAGTAATCGATCAAGACTAATGCATAGTCTCCGGTTGGAAATGGACCACAGATGTCGAGGGCTAGATATTCCCAGGGGCCACTCGGTAGTGGAGTTGAGTTGAGTGGGGTTGGTTTGGTTGGTTGGCCAGTTACTTGACAAGGGTGACAGCGTTTAACGAGTGTCTCTACGTCTTTATCCATACCAGGCCACCATAACTTTGATCTGAGTCGATGTTTGCAACGGGTGATTCCTGCGTGATCCTCGTGAGCTGCTGTGATGGCTTTCGTGCGCAATTCGTTTGGAAGAACTATTCGAGTTCCACGGAGAACGATGTCGTTTGCCACGCATAGCTCGCTAGCTACGCCTTTAAAACTACTGGGGAGTTTGTATGGGGTATTTTCAGTGATGCATTTTCGAACAAGCTGCAGTTCTGGGTCATGGATAGAAGCTGAGCGAATTTCTTCTGTGTCGATTGCTCGAGGTGACATGTGTTGGGCGATAAGGTTAACATATCTGTCGGCACTGTTGTCGCGCTTTGATGGTGGTTGTTTTGGTGTCAATCTTGATAGGGAATCTGCTAGGTTTTGAGGACCTGGACGGTATACGATTTCGAAATCGTATTCTTGCAATCGAAGTTGCCATCTCTCGATGCGAGCTGGAGGTGGTTTACTTGATTTAGGCTGGAAGATATATTCAAGGGGTTTATGGTCAGTTTCAAGCTCAAATTTTCTGCCAAACAGGTACATGTGAAAATGTTCACATCCGAATACGAGTGCGAGAGCTTCCTTTTCGATGTGACCATACTTGACTTCCGTGGTGGTGAGTGAACGGCTTCCATAAGCGACTGGACGGTAGTTGGTGTCAGGTTGTTGTTGTAGGAGTATGGCGCCAACTGCCCAAGGAGAAGCATCAACTACCAGCTTGGTTGGTGCGTTCAGATCATAATGGGCTAAAACAGGTGCGGTGCTGATGATGGCTTTGAGTTGTTGGAATGCTCTTTCTTGTTCTTTGTTCCATTCAAAGGGAATATTCGATTTGGTGAGCTTTCGCAGCGGTTGGGTGATGGTGCTATAATCTGGAATATAGCGTGAGCAATAGTTCGTTAAGCCAATGAAAGAACGAACTTCAGATGCGCATTTCGGATGTGGAGCTTGTGCAATTGCCTCAATCTTTTTCGGGTCAGGTCGGATCCCTTTAGCAGACACAATGTGTCCAAAAACGTTGATCTCGGGCTGGGCAAAGGAGCACTTTGGAAACTTGAGTGTTAATCCGCTGGACTGTAGGGTGGTGAAT